TTTGTTTGCTATGATTCACTTTTTTTTCGTATTTCATTATAGAGATTGAATTAATACTACGTGATTATTAAGATAAATGTGCATCTAATGAAATATCCTTTTTTCAACATCTTCGCCCACAAACAAAAAGAAACGCTGTCAATTAGCTTTTACGTATTTCAGAGTATATTACTTTATCAAAGTTTATAGATACATATTGCAAAACAAGTAATAAAGCATTTTAAAAAAAGTAACTTTAATGACACTATCCTTTTGATATTACAAAGAATTTTTTCTTTTTATAGAATCATAAAATTCTGTCATCCGAATTATTAAGTACAATCAAAAATATTCAACAGTATATGATATTGTTCTAAAATCTGTTTTAACTACAAAGTCAAATAAATGTATGAATCAGTTTATGCGCGTCTAACACAAAAGAAAAATTAATATATATTGAATTATTCATCCAATGACAAACCATAATCAACGTCTAACTCCTCCACAATAGGCCATTATTTGATTAGTTCTGTTATTGTCATTTAAACAAACGATAACAATGACTGTAGAATGGCCACTGTTAAAATTAGATCTCAACGAGGAGAAAAGACATTAACTACATAGAATGATAACAGAACATAGTGATAAAGAAAAACAAAACCTAGTGTAAATGTTTTATTTAAATCGAATGACTATCTCAGGATACAAATAATAACTCTGGTTAGTTTTATGATTGCATGTATATTAATCTCAATTTCAATAATGTTCTATAAAATATTTTAATGTCTGACGTAATTGATACTTTTTGCTTAGCATGATTTATCTGATCCGATATACATCTAATAAACCTTCTTTTTTCTATGATTCCATAACGAAAATCAACTCGGTATATTAAACATTATTTACATCGACGAAACAATGATTGAATAGTCATCTAACTATTGAACAATAATGAATAATAGTTTTGATGTATGACGACATAATATTTCATATTTCTTAGGAGTCAAGATGATTGATTTCATATTTTGTAAAGCAAAACGAGCAGAAGTATTTTTTTATAAAAAAAACAAAAAATTTTATCTGTGTATTACATAGTTAAAATAGATTGATATCGAAACTCTCAATTAATATAGATTAAATGATTAATAAATTTACTTTTCGATAATTAAAGTGAAGAACGAATTTCAACACAAGGCTAAGAAAATATTTATGATACTCAACTTAAAAATATTGATGAAAACATCGAAAGTAATAAGATGTTGTTTTTAGGAATGGTAATAGATGAGAAAAACATGAAGAATTTAACTTAAGAAGAAATATTTTCAGGTGTCCATCTAATTTTCAACTGAGACTTGGTGTATCTTGTAAACCTTAGTGAACTATATCTCTATCATAAACAGAGTTCTTTCCTATAGCATTGTTTCTGAAGAGATCGAACGTTTTTTGTGAATTTTGGCCGTGAGACTTCACATTTACAATAAGAGCATATTTTCGAATTTCAATTGCAAACTTTGCTCACATAAAAATGTCGCTTAGACTAGCTTGCGTAAAAAATAATTTAGAATTTTCTGATTAACGAGAAAATCTCTTCAGATGTTCCCGTCCGATTTCAATGATTTTTTTTTTACTTATAGACACTATATAGTGTATTAATAAAAAGCCTAAAAGGATTTGGGTTCCTACTGAGATTTGACTAAGATATTGAGCTTTTTAATATTACTATTTTCTAGAAGCCGCAGGTTTTTGGAAAACTCGAATTTTTGAATTTCGATCTGAAATTGTGTACCAACTTCCATGAAAAAATTCTAGAACAATATGTAGTATCTGTAGACAAAAAAAAATTATTGAAATCGGAAGAGAGCAGCTGAAGAGATTCTATCGTTAGGCAGAAAACTCTGAATCTTTTTATTCAAGCTTGTTTAAGTGACATCTTGATGTGGACAAAGTTTTAAGTTGAAATTTAAAAATATGGCCTTGCAGTAAATGTGGGATCATAATATAACTAAAATTCATTAAAAATGTTTGGTTTCCTCAGAAAAAAAGTATCGGAGGGGCGGGGGGCGAACTCTTGCTTTTTTTTATGGATTAGATCATTAAGGTCTACAAGATGCACTAAGTCCCGGACTAAAAGTCAAATGGATACCAAGGAATGTTTTCTGGTAGAAAAAAACATGATGATGACAATCAGAACTACTTAATAAAAATATAGTTTAATTATTAAAATAAGTACTGATCTGTTAGATATGATAAATGTGAGCATTCTTGCTCATCAAGTGATCTATGATATCTTTAATTATAAATCTGTTTAGAATTGATCGATAACATACTATTAATCAATCGTGTTAATGAAAGACTTATACTTTTACCATTCGTCTACGGACAAGCAATGCTTAATGTTTAACAGATATACACTTTTGGATATATTTGCATGCATTTTTATCATGTGTTGATAATAGATTTTGTTATTTTTCTCAATCAATGGTTGACAATACACTAAAATAATTATTTAACAGAATGCTTGGTAAAGGAATATATAAACTAAGATTCTACTATGGCAATAGATATTAATATGATCATTTCCATATATACTTGTCTTGAATTTGTCCAGTAACTGATTCAATGTGAATATAAGTTCTAAATAACATTATATCAAATTCAACAAAAGAAAGCTGAGATCTTTGTTGTCAATAATAGCGAATATTAGAATTCTGTTTAAAAATATTTTAAATTTCCACCTTTATACAAAATATCGTCTTGTTCTTCGAGTGAAAAACGACAAATTCATCAGATTTTAAATCTATATTAACTATTCAAATACAAAATTTTTTCTTAACACTAAAACATTATTTACTTTTGGAATCTTCATGATCAGTAGAAAGTTCAAAAATAAAGCTTTTATTACAAATCTTCATTATTGAATATTGAAGTTACATTGAGTTTTTCTGGAAAACTCTCATTTCTGCTTTAGACTCAATCGGAAATCAACTTTTATATTTTGGTCTACAACGATATTAGGTCATTTCAAGAGTCCTAGACTTGTTAGATACTCTTTTGTAAAAAAACAATAAATTTCAATAATTTATTTTACATACAAAGAAAATTCTAAGCACAATTATCAAAAGAGAAAGATTAGACAACATGAAATTTTTATAAATCAGTAATCAAGAAGACAAGAATTCGACAGTCGATTTTGAAAATTAATTTGTAGAGACACAGGTTAGTCAAAATTGACAAAATACTTGAAAGTATTAATATATATGAGATAAATATTTCGAATAAAAAAAGATACTTCAGATGAATCTCTTTATGAATAGAGCCTAATGAATCGACGGAAATCTCTTGATTAGAATCAGTTTTTCTTTTTCGTAATAAAATCTATCTTTTATATTGTAGGTTTTCTTATTATATTAATCAATTTTTGCACTTAAAAACCACGAGATTATTTATCATACATTTTTTTATTCATCATTTTAATTTTCATCTTGTTTTGTTTTTACGATACATCATACATAGAAGAGAAAGATACACATGTACTAATCTAATAAATAAGAACTAATGAAAAGAAGAAAAAAAGATATTCAAATGACTAAGTTCAATGTCTAATGATGTTTTGACAAATGAATACCGATCTAAATTGATATTATTATTGATCAACAGGATATTAGTCGACCATCGGTTTTTGAACAAAAATAACAACGGTTTTCAAACCATGTTTGTTGTCCTGGTGAAATTAATCGATGAGTACTAATATCGATTTGAAGTAAACATGGTTTTGTCTTGATCGGTGTTGGTACTGATGGTAATAAACTATATTCACCAATGGCCCATTGTTTTTGTTGATTCTTATTATTCTTTAAAACTCTATTAGTGTTAATATCAATCTTAAGAATTTGATCACAATTAATACATGTTCTCTGTCCATTGACACATGTACAAGAACGACATTTATCATTAGGTGGTGTTAACCATTTTGAACCCGATGGAAAATAATACATTACTAAAACAGGACGTGTTTTTTGTACGAGACAAGGACGATTGCATGTTGCATGAACAAATTCACATGCTAAACGTCCATTTGACTCACATGAACATCTAGTACATGTATTATGATCAATCCATGATGTTTCACGAGGTATTTCAATATAACGACTAGATTTTTCACTAGTATTTGATGATGATAAACGTTCAATTAATATGCAAAATTTAGGCATAGTACCTATTGAACATTGTGGTCGTACACGTATATTAGCTATACGACGTCGAACATTTGCTGAATTCGATGAATCAGTATATGGATAACGATGATTTCTATAAAAAAGAAATAAGTGTATTATAAATCAATATTTAATTAATGATAAGGCATTCAATCGAAAAATATTTATTCAATTTCGTTTTTTCTCGGAAGTCATAAAATACATTTCTGGTCACGTATTCATTTCCGTCTTATACTCAAAAAGAAATTTCTATTGATTAATAAAATAAATTATTACTTTGATTTTCGAAGTTGTTGTTGGCTAGTTCTTTGTCGAATAATTGTGGTTCGATTTCTTGTTAATAATTGTGGCTTTCTACATAACCAATGTCCACCTTTCGAACATTTACAACCAACACATCCATCTCTTGATCGTACACGTACACCAAGTTGATTTGCTGAACAAATCATTGTTCGTTGTCGTATGATTGGTACATTTGGAATTGGCCACTTAGCTAAATCATTGGATGTCGGTGATGAACCATGAATTGTACGAAGTAAAGTTAATGAATCAGCACCAACAGGTTTTTTCGGTGTTAGTTGACTGTAGAAAATGCGAATGTTGCCTTGTTCACAAACACAATATGGACCGCCTGGTATATCCATTCGACCCCAGGTAGCACCATTTTTAAAACGATGTCCTTGATGCCAACATTCACCGGATTCAAAACCTGGTCCTGACCATGTGTAAAGCTGAATGTCTGCTGCACGACATTCTGCATTACTACTACCGTCTGGTGGCATCTGAACGAGGCCTAAGCATAGATGCTTAGGCCTCAATACCAACAACAAAAGTAAGACAAACACCAGATACAACACACGACACGACAAAGATCTACGGAAAAGACATTATGTTATCAATTATGTTTCAAATTTTCTTGAAATAATTTACTTACATTGAAACACAATTCAGTGTTGAAGCCAGAATCTTGTACTAACGGTAACGTCGTTCGACAATGTGTCACTCACAGATGATTTTTATCTAAACATTGAAAATTTCCATATACTTTTGTTGTACAACTATTTGTCAATGTCAAATGAGAAAAATGAAAAAGAATAAGATAAACAGAGAAAATAGGACTTGTATGAAGATTTGTATAATAATACATTGTTTAATATTGATGATAACAATATTGTCGTCATATATAAATGAGAATATTTTTCCTATTCTCGATGCAACAACAAAACGCAAGGAACAAGTATTGTATGTCAACACGCTAATCATCGTCTGCAAGCAACATTCAAACATACATATTTAAAATAAACAGAACGTATACACATCATTGTTGTCTCTTATTTGATTTGATTGAAAAAACACGTCTCAGTAGTACTATTCAAAACAGTAGACATACCAAAATGTTGATAGATTAAGAAGAGTACATGATATAGAACCATAGATATATGAATTTTTTTTTCAAGGTAACATTCAAATAACTCAAGTGAATGAAAAATGAGAAGACATAAATATATATAAAGAAAAGGAAAAGAAAAAGGAAAAAAAGAATAATAAAAGAGCAACATCACCAAATAATCCATCTACTTGGACAAGAGTCGAAGTAATGAGCCTCTTCGTTTTCAAGTGGATTAATATGTAAAATGGTATTCATTGATCAAGAAAGAAAACAGACTTCTATGTTCTTAAACACAAGCGCTCAATTTTTTTATACATATGTCATATGTCTGAACATAACTTACCTTTGCAATTTTTTTCTACGTTTTCTAGAAGTCGTTTTTTAATGTAATATTCTCCATTTCTTTCTTAATTCATTTCTTTTTTTGATGATGTGAAATCATTCTTGTGACTTCAAACCACATAAAGATTGCATACAATAAGTAATCAGCTGTGTATGTATGTCTCTTTCTCTCTCTTACTTTCTTCCTTCTTTCTTTCAGTCAAAATATTTTGTAGACAAAAAAAGAAGCGAGAGCACAAAGAAAAAATGTCAAGAATTTATAGAAACAAGAAAAGAGAGAGAGAGAGAAAGAAAGACCCATAATCTGGTGGTTTTCTTTTCACGTAGGTAATTTTATCATCATCTCTCTATATTCTTGGATTTCTATCAATGTTCTTATGATTAACAAAAGAAAACAACAACAAAAATAAATCAACAACAATAATATAAAGAAAATAAAAGAAGCAAGAAAACAAAGTTGTCTTTTTCCTTCTCGCTCTTTCGTCTGACAAAAGAACAAAACTACAATAACAAAAAAGCGATTTGCATCAGTCATTCATACATAAATAACTATGCAATCAGATCGTTCTTCGACCTAGGACAAAAGCCTACGGGTTCTCACATCAAAACAGTATATACGATACTCAATCGGATATATTCTGAGAAACGTCCCCAATTGCGGGCAGTATGACGATATAATACACTCATATTTATATGAATAACAATGAGTCTAGCAACATCTTCTAATGAAAAAAACATAATGGATTGTGGTTTAGTTTGGTCGATCGTCTTTTTTTGTGCTAATAATCCCATGTGGTTTCGATTGATGTATATACTGACAAATCTGCTACGCCTTAATGTTTTGTTTTTATGGTTAATGGGTTAAAGTTTATTCGTTAGTTTGGACGATCGCTAAAGAATTTCTTGAAGATGGTTGAATTTTTTCTTTTCTACGTTCTTAATTTAGCTCTATTAATCGTAACACTGGTAAATTTGTCTTTTACAATAAATAGTAATCATGCTTTAAATATTCAATATTAAATAACATATTCTATTGTTACCTCGTGAGAATAATAAACTCTTTTCATATTTATCTTATGGGAATATGATCTACTCCTCATAGATTTTAACTAGTCTTCTTACCTGGAAATGTTTTCAGGCTAATAATAATACTTGAACTTTAAGTCTTCATCTTGATCGAGTATTAGATGAGATATAAAAAAAAAGAAAAGAGACAGAAAAAGAGAAAATAATGGGATTTATATCTAATATAACTCTCTTTTCTTCATCACCATCATCTAGAGTGGCATGCTCAACTTCTTTTTTTTTCTCTTTCACATTTAGAGCGTGTGACAATGACCTTCAAGCTTTCTTCATCAATTTATACTTGCATATGGAAGATTGAATGCCAGAGGGCAGATTTTACAGACGCCTATCATCTTTGAACATAGTCTGTGAAACTGATGTGTTGTTGTTTTTTCTTTTCTTTTTCTTTTTCTATCAGCGACATATGAATATCTAATGATGAAATCTATATTGTTTGACTCACGATAGAATGGAAAACGGTGGAAATATAAAAAAAACACAAAATTCTATTATTATTAATTGAAACTGACGTGGTTGTTGATATAAAAAAAAACGAACGAAGAAAAAGAATTTTTTTTCTTCTCTTCTTATTCTCAAGGTTATTGACATCTTTTCTATATCGGAAATAGAACAGGCGGAGATTACCTGTTCGTGACGTGTTATGATAATGAATTAAGCATGCGCTACACATACAATCATCACCTTGGTTTGAATACGACAACCTTGACAAAGTGTCTGGTTTATATACTATATTATATTATATATATATATATGTTATTCTTTAGTTGTGAATTACATATGTATGTGATATACTATTAAAAAGAAGAGAAAAAAATGATACTCATATACGCAAAATCAAAGATGATAAATCATTCTAATGTACTAGTTTACGTAGTTTTATATCAAAAATATATCATAATCATGAATCCTTCTTTTATATATGTATCTGGGGTGTAATGACATTGAGCAGAATAAAAAAACAACTTGTTTTTTTGAAATGAAGAAAATGAGAAAAATGTATTATTCGAATAAATAATGTGTGGGCAAAATGGTCGAAAAGTATGAGATGGTATACATTAAACTATCTGTTTTTTTCTTCCTTCAAAGAAAATATGCATGGTTACACAAAGATATTAGCGAGATTTTATGTGTAAAATGTATAAATTCGTGACTTTGTATTTGATTAACTTATATTAGTAGCACCACCCATACCTACAAATAGATCTATTGAAAAAATTGATTCACCTACTTCAAAGAATATTTGCTCGATTTCATACTACTTTCAGCAGTTGCTGTTGGTAGTATTTGTCCAGCTATGCCTGTTCCACTACCTATTTGACCTGCAGTTTCTCCTGTTTGATTTTGAGTTGATAATTCTTCAACAGTACCTGCTGTATCTTGTCTTAGAGTTTCTGTTGATTGTTCACCACTCGGTGATTTTTCAGTCGATATATTTCTATTTTAGATATAGGCTTTTTTTAAATTTCTATTTAATTATTTTTTGCTGGAAACGAAACAAATCTTTTCGATTGATATTTAAGATGAAGAATTTTATAATCGACTCTGATACTTAAGTCAAGTATGTATATGCGAACGAAAATATGAGACGATGACATTCTCAATATTTCAATCACATGTTTGATCAACAATTGCTTCATAAGATTTTTCTTTTCTTCTTCTACTTCTTTACACTCAATAGTAAAAGAACAAGGTTAAGTTTGGTTTTATTTGTCAGGTGACTTGTTTTTACGATAGAAAAATTACAAAATAATGAAGGTGGGTTGGTTTTACATGAAAACAATTTTCATCTTCCTGTGTAAATTTAATGCATACTGTCTCAATCTTCTTTTTGTAAGAAGAAAAAAAAATCACATAAATCAAAAAAAGAAAAAGCCCTTCCAGTAAAATCAATATAAAAACCATATTATTTCAATCGATGTTTGTAGGAATCATATAAACTATTGATGAAGATATTGACCTTAGAAATCAACATGATTGTCATTGACAAATAAATTTACAAAATTTTGTGCCAGATTAATTTCTTCAAATACAATTTTTATTAAACTTTCAATCGAAATAATTCTAATAGAAATGGCAGATATGTTTTCAATCAATTATATTACATGTAGTTGCATTTGAAATAAATGAATTTCTATATGTTGTTCATTTTATAATGTTTTTTTTTTGTATGTTTAAATGTTGCTTGATATTATCAGTAATATTTTGCTTGAATATTTACTAGTAAACAACTGTCTTAGTTTATAAAAAAAAGAAAATTCTATTTAAGTTTAGATAAATTATTTATAGAATAAACGATAGTTGAATCATTTTCTATAATGAGCAGTAAAGTAATTCTAATGTCATGGTTGTTTTTTTATGATTTATAAAACACATAACGTTGAAATTGTTGAAATAAATTTGTATTCTTTGAGACGAATAATTTTCTTTGAATTTTCCTCACTACAATGACTTTAATAAGTGTTGATCATTAAGAATCGAAAATCAATTTTTAAGAAAAATAAAATATTTATGAAAATTTTGTATAGATTGAAATATTATTCTTATATAGATTTAGCATTTTGATATTTCGAATATTCGATTTACTGATCGACAACTTTTGTTGAATTTAAATACATGTAAGAAAAAGAGTGTTTTTTTGATTGCCATCGTATTTAAATAACACAAAAAAAAAATTAAATGGAAGTATGACAATCACTTGATGGTATTTGGTATTCTCTTTATAAGCTCACTTGTTTAAAATAGTGTCATATTGAGAGTTTATTTTGCTCATAGGCTAGTCAGAAAAGTCTCTTATGTCCCATTGGATATGTTAGCAACATTATTATAACTTGGTAATATATTCGTTGATGCAAACAAGAATTTACATATATTGAATTTGTATTAATAAGCAGTTTTTCTTCAAAGTCAGATGCATAGTTGAATGAGTGTATAGTTTTTAATAGACAACTATATATTATATCTGTGAAAGTTTAAGCATTTCTGACACTTAAATATATTTTTATTTCAATTTGAAATTTTAGTCTAAAAATGTATCTGGTTACGTATTATAACTAAAGATATTCAACTCTTCATATTAATAACTGTTTAGAAGCACTCGGATTCAGACTTATAAGTATATATTCGATATTTGTTTATTATATGTTATATCGATTGAGCTTTCTTCCAGTTGATCGATTGCATTTGCAATCATTCTTTATGATAATATGAAGCCGTTTTTATCAAGTACTTTTTATATAGATTAATTTGATACAATTGTAATTACATTTTATGATGAAAGAAAACCATTAGATTGTAATATTTTGATGGCTTCTGTTTAAAAAATTACAAATTAAAAGTAGTATTTACGATAAACTTTATATTCTTCATTTTTGATTAATCAAATAGTAACAATATGAAATATTAAGTTCTATGTTCTTTATAAAAAAAAAATCAGAATATATATGAAGTGTATACTTGTTTTGTGGAACATGATCTAAAAGAAGTGTTCGAATAATAGGAGAAGAAATTTGGATTGTCCCTTCACAGTGGGCAACAATGTGAACATTTGGTGAGAAAAAAAATTATTTTAGCTCTTTAAGGGTTTGGAAAAATTCTAGGCTCCAAAAATGGTCATGCTTCTATCATCTAAGAGGAAAGTATCTTTTTCCAAAGAAAGTAAAAGCACCTACAGAATAAATAATAGAGCCTTTGTTTTGGAAAAAAGATGCATACTTTCTAAACTAAGGATTTCCTAAAAAGACGTGTATAGTAGAGTCGGTGCATACACTTTAGTACAATTCGAAACTCAATAAAAATTTCGTAGAATGTTTTTCTCTGTTTGACACGTCTACTTAGTTAGCATAAAGATATATGAATGCTTCTGAACTGAGATGCAAATTTCCTTCAAAAACAATTTTTAAAGGTTTTTCGCCTTATTCTATCTTACAAATGCTTTAAAAAAACCAAAGGAATATATTCGAGATCAACACAGAAAACTGCATCGAATGGCATGACATCTATTAATTTTTGAAAATAAAATTTTTTCCGACAAAAATTCACGGTAAGGCCTCACTCATGCATTTTCCATTTCAAATCTTCTTTCACAAATTCCACTTTTTCACGTGGCAGACATGTGAGGAGCAGCTCATCCCAGATCGTATATCAATAACGTCTCATTATGATATATGAACTACTTCCTTATCATATTTCTCGAGGATTGAGTAAAATGATAGTAAAGAAATGTGTCCTGAAATAGATAGAATAAAACAATTTTCTCGTGATTAGCAACAGCAACTACATTGTGTTTCACATTTTAATCCCTCAGAGATTGCGCTAGTAGCCTTTTTTTTATATGCTCATTAGAAATCTAAGAACTATAGCTTTGTAAGTTTTTTTTTAGTTGACCAAGAAAATGATAAGTACCAAAAAGAGATTAAATGGAACTTTCTATATATAAGAATGATGAAGAATATTGTAGAATATATCCAAAGCATAGAAGTTATCATGTAGAAAACTATATCATACGTTTGCATTGATGATGTATTCTATAAGAGTTTTTGAGATAAATAATGATCTGTCAATCATTAGTTCGTCTTCTATCAATCATGATTCATATTAGTTATATTAAAAAATGGGGATTTAACTATCAAGCAATTAGATCATGCTGATCTAATGGTTGAATTATTCAAAAGATAAATCGAAGAGATTTTCAATCTCTTCATATAGTATTCTAGAAGATTTTTGCATCTAAAATTAGTTTGTTTCTTTTTAATCTCAAATTGATTTTAATACAATAGTTTAGAAATGATTTATTAGTCAATGACATGGACGATACATCAATACCACAAGAAGTAGCTATTGATTTTCCTAAAAAAGAATTCGACATAAAAAATAGGAATTTAATACTTCCTCAAATTGATTTCTTGACCTAAACATACATATATTCAATAGAACTCTGTCGTTCATATATTAAGATTGGCCTATCATCTCATGATTTTGTTTATTGCTATTCTGATGAATGCGTTTCCTGTCATATATATCCAACATCTACTTCTATCAATGGAATTAAAATCCACTTAACCAATATTTAATGGATAAAATGTAATGATTGATCTTCGTTATTGATTTGTTTGTGTTTTTTAAGTTTAAAATCAAAACGTCTGAAAACATGTAAACATATCAATTTGTTCACAACCCGAATGAAGAACAACAAGCTGTTAACATTAAATCGTTAAATGAGCAATCTGAAAAACAACACCTCCATATTTCCAACTGATTATTAAGTCTATAGTTCTTTTATCTTTTTCCAAAAAACAAGTGCTACTCTAATTTGAAGTGTGAAATGCACTGTTATATGAGTTAATACTCAAGTTTTCAATCACTATTCCTTCGAGAATATTTCAAGCGAAAAGAAACATTTCCAGTCAGATTGGCTCTACCTATGAAGGCAAAATGAGGATGGGGGAGAAGAAGTGCAAATTAAACTCATTTAAAAGTTTTTTGTTTCCTCTAAATAGTTGACCTTGCACTCTCCATACTAGTCAAATACTATTTGATAGAGTATTGAATAGGTTTACATCCTCAACCTCGTCTCGATACTACTTATTCCATTGTTCTGTTCAAGTTTTTTCTACTTAATCTACATAATTAATAAAAACGGTATATCAAAAGAATAAGAACTATGGCCTTGCAGAATGATTAAGTACAATAGAAAAAAAAATAAGGTCAATCATAAGAGACAATTAGAAAAAATTTTTAAAATCAAAGAATATTTTTATGTAACATTTTACGTTATACTTATAATAAAATACAAAGAGTTTCTGTCCGAAGAAATACTATCATTTTGTCACCTCTTGTTCTTTTATTTAAAAATCAATCAAATACATCAATCAAAAGAAAATATGATGAACTTTTTCAATAGAAAAAAAGTCGCATAGACGATTTTCTTTCAGTATAATTTTATTCATGATTATATTTGTTAGTTAAAATCGACTGCAGCTGGTGTATCCCTCCTTTTTGAATTTCAAATGAGATGAGTATATTATTTCTTTTCTACTTTCATTTTTTTCTTTATAAAAAGAAAAATAATTTGGCTATTGAATCATTATGAATACAATCAAAATGAAACACCCCATACTCGTTAAAATCCATTTTACCATTAATATACATATATATATATGTATAGATCGACATTGAGAACTACTTTTTACTTTTTACATCACATTAATGTGATCAGCTTCACTAATCACAAAACAGAAACTCATTAACAAATCATTACAGCCACCTTCTTGTTCTGATCTTTCAATAGAAACATTCTCTTGTCGTGGTTAAATGAGAAAATGATGATAGAGTTTTTCCTTTTGTTTCTCTCTCGACAAACATAACTCTAATAGGAAAAAGAAATCACACTCGACAAGAAAAGAAAGAATCAAATTCATTCAGAAGTAGCAAGTGACATGAAACAAATCGTAAGTTTTGCGTTTTCTTCTCTCTCTTTTTTTTTTCTCAAACTGCAATCTTGTGTGCCATTTATCTTCTGGTTAACATCTGTTCTTTTATTTTCTGACTTTCTATTTACTAACACCTGGATTGTCACTGAACTGTCTGCTTTTTCTCTCTCTCTCTCTCTCTCTCTCTCTCTCTCACACAATACTCATTAATAAAATTATAGGTGAAATGTACCATTTGCCATCAACATTCTATCAGTAGAACTAATCATCTAACCGATTGCATGCATTGGGCGATATCAAGAGTAACGTGTTCGTTCTCCAGAGTACCACCAACTTCGTGAGTAAGTAAAAAAAAAACGGGAAGAAAAAGAAGGAAAGAAAAAAAATCGACTATAATGAAGACGAAGCAATCAGTTTGAATGGCTATATTTTACATAGTTATATAGGATTACAAGAAATATAACAGCGGTAAATAGAACAGAAAGAAATTGTCAAGATGTAAAGTGATTAACGAGCAAAACAACAAGTCGTTATTCATCTCGTAACATAGTGGTTATGCAAGTAATTAGAATAAAGGGTGGAGAAAGAAAAGCTCCAGCTTTTTTTTGGGACGGAATGGGGGGGGGGGCATGAAGAAAATTATTTCTTTAATCGACATAAAAAGAAAAGTACACATGTATAGGTATATTCATATGAAATTGGAACTAAAATAAGAAAATGTTAACTTGCTCAAAGATCGATTGATTGTCTATACGCATTTCGTTTTGAATAGTTATTAACGAAAATCGTATGAACATATCATTGATTAAAAGTAGTTCGTCTTTATTTTACAACTAGAAAAAAGAATACTATTCAAAACCAACACAACTATATCAAAACAGGTAAACTATTTTGAATGTTTTCGAAAGGCAACTGTTGTTGTTGAACGAATACGTCGATCAGGAGTATTTGTTAGTGATCGTTTATGTATTAATGGTGCTGATCGAGCTCCATGTTTTCTAAAACGAAAATAAAAGATAATTATTTTGTCAAAAAATAAAAAACTATTTCATGCAAAAAATTTAACACGACGAAGAAGAACAAGAACGCGCAGAGTTATTATGATTTGTTTTTATACTTTTAAATGCCTACTTTTTCTTTTTATGATTTAGTTGAATTCAGTTTTAAAAATCTAAATTTAATAAATC